ATTTGGCCAATCAAATATAGAAGGGTCTACCTCGCATTAAAAAACTTGTGCTACCTACTGGAGTTGAACCACGACCGACCAGCATGGAATGGTCTGCAAGAGTCACTCAACTTGGCTCGGTCCAGCCAAATATCATGGATAAACGACTTGCGGATTGTCTTATCCCGCCTCTATATCCCTGTGGAGCTGGACATCTCAGCGGGAATCGATGTTGAAACTGTGGAAAGCGTGATGAAAGCTGTGATCAAGTCCATGGAAGCGTGGATAGATGATGAAATTGAGTCTTCGTCAAGAGTCCGTGATCTTCTTGTCGGGCGTACGGAAAGAGACAAGGATACGAAACGTTTGGTGAAGAAATCATTGTATTTCCGCCACTATTTGGCAATTCCACAGCCTGAACATCGAAAGGCTCTCACGCAGATGATTCTATCGAGCCACAGTCTTGCCGTAGAACGTCGCAGGTGGACGGAACGACGGAAGAAAATTGTCCCCCGGCAGTGGAGACTATGCAGATTTTGCTATGTGTATGTGGAAGATCCTGCCCATGCCATGTTTGCGTGTCAACATGAGGAGCTCAAGCCCATTCGTCAAGAATTCCTGGATAAAGTCAACGCCGAAATCCCTGGAGTGGTCGATGAATCTTTGGATGCGTTACAGCTGTTTCGGACTCTACTCCCGAGACGGGAAATTACCTCACTCCTGGGCAAATTGGCATACAATGTGCTGAAGATTTTCGAAACTGAGCCAATGCTTGTGGTTGAAGAACCTGCCCAGTAATGCCGCGCTTCCTGCGTGTGATTTTGATATACCTCACTCCTTGCGGTGGTCTCATACATGCAGTTTGCAAAGGGAAGACGTACGACAGCGTGCTGTGACTGGTGGATTCCGGGGATGTTTTACCTAGGAGGAGGGGACTCCTCCTGTACACCAGCATATTCTGCTGGTGGTCAGGTCCTACGGGTTTTAGCTGGAGTCCTGCCTCGACAACGAGGTCGGCCAGTTCACAGCACCGCCAGCGTCTTGTACGCTCGATCCCCTGGAATCTCTGTGTGTTCCGTTGGCAGCTTGCAGTTTCTAAGTACGGATAGCCACCCGTACATTACTACATGTTTGTCTTCGGTAAACTCGTCGTTCAGGCATGTGGACCACGCGAGTATAATACATCCCCCCCCCCCCCCCCCCCCCCCCCCCCCCCCCCCTCCCCAGCGCCGGTCAAGAGATTGACGCGTCATCAATGCATTGTTATGCCTCCTTCTCTGTTTCCACCATGTGGCGTGTCCTGGAAGATGGATCTGGACTCAGGCGGTCTCGGTTTCCGCTTTTTTTTTTTTTTTGTCCAGTCAATCCAACAATGCTTCAAACCTTGATTCCTCTAAAATTCGAACTTGGCCCAGAAAGTGGGACACCCGTGGCTTTTCATTTTCTCCAAAGACTCCAGCAAGCACGTTTGTCGGAAAAATCTAAATCGGCTTTGATTGGCATTGAACGCGTTCCAAGCCAGTGCATGGCCAAATGGCTTAAGCTGGATTCCAACGCACAGGTAAGAATCACGCAACCACTCCCAAGCAATGTCGATGGTTCCAACGCGTTCGAAGATGAGTCTCAGAAAAGTCACAAAATTTGTACGCCTCCATTCTAGGTTTCAATGAATGGGCCCCTTGCAGTGATACTTATTGTAATAGTTGGACCGAGGAGGGAACTTGTAAAGTCTACGTTAGGCACAGATTATAGCAGGGTTATAAATTCGAAGATCTCTAATTTAAAGTAAGTCTTAGGCAGGCATACATGTGTATGAAAATATTCAGAAGTCATCAACAGAGTTATGTACCTTGGTCGGGCTCCCGGGTGGGGCCTGGTGGCGCTCTGCTGAAGGCTTTCTCACGGACTCCACAGCTGTAAGATTTCGAACAAATGAGTGGGTGATAGAAAATTAAAATACAACATGCATGTTTCAAGTCAAATTACTACCCCGAGGCACCGAGATTTGACCAAATCCCCATTTTTTCTGACCCTCAGAATACGCACATGTCTTGCGACGGCATGGCACAGTTTGGAACTCACATCAAGGCTCCAAACAGCTTCAAAGTGGCTCAAAGCCCCTCTGCCAGGCCTTCAAAGCAGTTTGAAGCCGTCGCAAGGTCAGATGCTGAACCATGCCGTTGCATGCTGACCGGCGTTTTTCCGACATTGAACTTGTATTCACGTCTGTCTCTTAACACTAGATCGCATTTCATCCCTGGAACCTCGGTCTTGGTAGCTCAACCACAAGCTTGGCACAGCCCGAAAAACAATAAACGGTCCCAGCAGACTTCCATTCTCGGACAAAGTCTTTGCTCCCGGTTGCCAATGCCACTCGCCTGTCTTTCCCCCGCCAACACTTTCCTTTAAAGGCTCTTTTCCACCAACCAATCCGCTCGAGTGGCTCAAAAAACGCTTGGACCAGCGCTTTCCAAACTTGTCCAAACATTTGACTTGTACGGAAATTTTCTGAATCCCAAGCGAGGCAATCCAAAGTTTTCGCTCTTTTTGGACGGGTGGTGGATGGCTATAAAGCGGGCGCGTGTGGGCATGGAATCCTCACGCATCGAAGCGCCTTCCCGCCCATCCGCCCGCTGCCCCGTCCTATCCACAATCAATGCCTCGCGCACCCACCTCCCACGCCTCTCGCTCTCGCAAGACCACCACAGTATGTTCACCTCATTTTACATTATAACCTATTCTCAACTCATTTGATACATAGGCTGGCAAAGCCCCACCTTCGCCACCGCTGCGCCACTGTTGCACCAAGTGCGAGTGGAGCTTCCCGCGGAAGTCAGACCTCGCCCGTCATTCGTCGTCGGCCCACATGTCACCTGAGCAGCAACTCGCATTGTAAGTGCGCCTCGATGCCCTTCCGTCCCAACTGCTCATGTAACCTTCAATGCAGAATGCATTCGTGCCCGATCGACGGTTGCAGCTACAAGGCCCTGCAGAAGTCTAATCTGATCACGCATTTCAATGCCAAACAGTTAGTCTCAGTCTGCACTGTCTATTCACATATATAACCGGGCTAACATCTTTTTAACTAGCTCTGGTTTGAAGCCACACACCTGTTCGAAGTGCGTTTACCGCGCCGCAGACCCGTCGTGTCTCAACAAGCACATGCGGTCCATCCACGGAGAGAGGGCGGGGACCCAGAAGCGGAAGGCGAAGAGCGAGGGCTTGTCTGCCGCATTCCAGCAGACGCTCGAATCCACTCTGTCCGCTTACCCCGTCGCGGCTCGTTCCTACACCGATTACCCCGAGCAGTCTACGAGCTCGTGGACACCATGTCCAGCGCCGTTATACTCGTTTGATTCCTCCCCGTCCCCTGCCTCGTGCTCGTCGAGCATGTTCGCCGAAGACCAATTCGCGACCTTACCTCCCGTTGCGACGCTCGACGAGCCCTTCCTTTTCTACGGCTTCTCCCCGTCGCCTTCCACCTCCTCAGAGTCCTCGACGTCCACCTCGCCACCACTCATGTGGGATGCGGAATTCGACAATGCGTGCCATGCGATGTCTGCCGCCAGCGGCTGCGTATCACCGGCCCAGCTCCACGCGCCCATGCTGCACCTTCCCGCCGAGGGCGCCCCGCTGTTATACAACGGGGCGGAATTTTCAGACATCGCCTTCGCCTTGGAGTCCGTTTTCAATGCACCGCTATTATCCCCCGTCCCCGACAACTTCCTTTCCTACTTGCCTCAACTGTCCTTCGATCCAATGGACCCGCTGGTCAACTTCGACTGGACGGGAGTCGTTTATTGAACGTTGCATTCTGGACATGTATTCTTATTGTTATCTATTGTACTTGTACTTCTGTCGGTTCGAATCAGACTTGTAGATCTGTAGTTGATTGTGTGGTGGTCTCTGTTGAATTTGTAGTTGTGTTTTTCGACCCTTTGCGAACCATTCGAGTGAGGATGAATCAAATCACTCCGGGTTCCAGCTGAGATCAAGTTGGCCGTAATAAGTTGAGCTCGTGCAGGAGTTTAAAGAAAAAATGGACAGATAGCTACCAAAGTTCCGGCGCCAGGAATCGAACCTGGGTATCTCCATTCGGACTTTTCTGTACGATGAACAAGGACGGAGCGTGCGCCGTGCACCACGCCCGAGATATCTGCTTACTTCCGACCATGAATATGCCACCGAGTTCTTGGAGAGTCAGTGGAATGTTGGCGGCGGGGGAATCAAGTCATTCAAGGTCGAATATCATATTGGGTTGGAGGGATAGAACTATGCGGGTGTGGATATCGAACCACTCCGGACTCGATGTGACTAGGTTTCCCTAATAAGTTGAGCTCGTGCCTGTGTTGAAAGAGAAAAAAAGGGTATATCATCAATGCATTTCGGGCGCCAGGAGTCGAACCTGGGTCGCTCCATTCGAAGTTGATGGACCGGATACAAATGAGGACGGAGGCACGCCTAGGTACCTGCTTACTTACGAAGCTGAATATATAACCGACTTTTAGAGATTTGGCATTAGGATCGATGGGAGGGGAATAAAACAAAAATTGTGAATGACAGAATAGGTTCTGACGCCAGGAGTCTGAATATTACGGAGTAAGAATAGGTTGCCCTCAATAAGGCGAGCTCGCGGCTGAAGTGAAAGAATAAAAAGAGACAGCAACACCAGTTGGGGCACCAGGAATCGAACCTGGGTCTCTCCCTATGAGCTTATGATTGCCCGCGCTGGATAAGGAGGGAACGTGCGCCGCGCACCGTGCCCGAGATACCAGCTTACTTGAGAACCTGAATATGAACCAAGTTTGTGGGAAGCAGTTGAGTGGGAGCCCGGGTGGGGACTCGAGGTTGGATACCATTAATTTTTGGGGAGGAATATAACCACATGGGTGTGAATGAATCGATATCAAACCAATACCGTATGTGATTGGTTGATATGAAGTTGAGAGAATTGTGCCTGGGCTATGAAAAAAAAGGAACGAACATGAAGAAAAACAAAACAAAAACACACTTCACCATAGCTCAGGCGCCAGGAGTCGAACCTGGATCTCTCCGTTCGCAAGTATTGTATCCTCACCACGCACGACGACGGAGTGTGTGCCATTTTTCACCACGCCCGAGATATCTTCTTACCTACGAAGCTGAATATCGTCCTGACTCCTGGAATGGCATAGGTGTGAAGGCTGCAGTTTTTGGAATAAGTAATCTATGTAGCGGTGGGCCAGATGGGATTAAAGATTAGGATGGAACAATATGTTCGCTTGGATGAAGGAAATTTAAATGGCCCAGTTGCGAGCGACACAGCGCCGGAGTTGAAAGGCGAAAAAAGCATTACCAGCTTAGTTCGGACGCCAGGAGTCGAACCCTGTCTCTCCGTTGGAATGTATTCACAGCGAACAAGGACAGAGCGTGCGCCGTGCACCACGCCCGAGATATCTGCTTGCTTTCGGAGTTGAATATGCTATAAACCTTTTTTGGGAAGCAGTGGAGTGGAAACGGGGGGACTTGACGTTGGGTACTATTCTGGGGTGGATGGATCAAACCATTCCCGATCTGGTGTGAGGGTAGGTTTAAATTGGCCGTAAGTTCACGCCTGACTTGGAAGAAAAAAGAATGGCTCATCTCGATATCAGTTCAGGCGCCAGGAGTCGAACCTGGGTCTCTCCGTTCGAAGTTAAGTATACATGACAATGAATGCGGACGGAGCGTGCGCCGTGCATCATGCCCGAGTTCCCAGCTTAATAACGAAGCTGAATATGCAACCGTTTTTTCAGAGATCAGGGATAGTGATCAGCGAAGCTGCTCGGATGGTTGGAAAATATATATACCGCATAGTTGCCAGCGATACATGTACGTTGAGTTCGCGCGCCTGTGTTGAAAGGATGAAAAAAGCATTGTACACTTCAATTTAAGTTCGGGCGCCAGGAGTCGAACCTGGGGCTCTCCGATCCAATCTTCCAAAAAACAAGAGCGCACGGAGAAGGAGTGTGCGCCGTGCACCACGCCCGACGTGCCTGCTTAGTAGTTCTGATGTTTGATGTCCTATGTATGTTTTTGGGGAGTAAGTTGAGTGTTAGCGGCGGGGACTCGAGGCTGGATCTTCTTTTGGGTTGGATGAATCGAACTGCTCGGGTGTTGATTGATCGAACATGAAACTAGGTTTCCCGTAACAAGTTGAGTTCACGCCTGAGTTGAAAGAACAAGAAAAAAGGACTAGGCACCTTAAGGTCGGGCGCCAGGAGTCGAACCTGGGCCTCTCTATTCAATCTTGTCCAGCGATGCAGATGGAGTGTGCACCGTGCACAAGATCCGAGGTATCCCCTTAGTTTCTTTCATCCTTGTTTGCCTCAGGATTCTATTTAGTGGTTTCATACACGCATTCTGCAAAGGGAAGACTTACGACAACTTACCGTGAACTGGTGGATTCCGGGGATGTTTTACCTGGGAGGGGAGAACCCCTCTTGTACTCCAGCATTGTATGCTGTGAGGTCAGGTCCCACGAGGTTTTAACTGGAGTTCCGCCTCGACTACGAGAGCCGGCCAGTGCACGGTAAGTCAGCGTCTTGTGATGATCGACCCCCTGGAATGGTGCGTGTTCCGTTAGCATCTTGTAGTTTGATGTAAGGATAACCACCCTTACGTATCTACATGTTTGTTTTCGGTAGACTCGTTGTTCATGTTGTGGACCACGCGAGTATAATACCCCCCCCCCCCCCCCCCCCCCCCCCCCCTTAGTTGAGAACCTGAAGATGTAACGGAGTTTTTGGGAAGCAGTCGAGTCAGAGCGGCTGGGATTCGAGGTTGAATATATGTCGATTTCTATGTCGATGAATTGAAATCCACGCGGATCCAACCATTCCCGATCCGGTGCGGGACTAGGTTGCCTGTAATCAGTTGAGCTCGCCCCGACTTGGAAGAAGAAGAAAAACAGTGGATGACCTCAACAGTTCTGGCGCCAGGAGTCGAACTTGGGTCAGAGAAAAAAACAGTGTATCACCCGAACAGTTCTGGCGCCAGGAGTCGAACTTGGGTCTCTCCGCTCGAAGTTTATCCATTGACGTGTACTACAAAGAATGAGTGTGCGCCGTGCACCACGCCCGAGGTCCCTGATTGCTTACGAAGCTGGACCAGGATATCCTACATATATTCTTGGGGAAATCAGCTGAATGTTAGCGGCGGGGACTCGAGGCTGGATGAATCGAACTACCCGAGGGTGGATGAGTTGATATCGTACCATTACACTACGTCAGTAGGTTGAGATGAAACTGACCTCGTGCCCACCGCCTGGGATAAAGAAAAAAAGGAACAGGAAGGAACAGAGAAGGCGAATAAAAGTAGGAACCTCAAATAACTGCAGCTCAGGCGCCAGGAGTCGAACCTGGGTCTCTCCGCTCACACGGATTTTCAGCAAAGGAGGACGGAGCGTGCGCCGCGCACGACGCCTGAGTGTCTGCTTAGTTCTGATGTTAGATATCCTACGTATGGTTTTTGGGGAATTCGTTGAGTGGGGGCGCTAGCGGCGGGGACTCGGAGGCCTCGGTTGGATCCCGTTTATTTTGGGTTGTACAAGTATGAATAGAGCCAGGATAAACGGTATGTAACCAGGTTTCCCGTAATATGTTGAGCTCGCGGCTGAAGTGAAAGAAGAAAAAAGCTGATCAACTTCCCAGTCAGTTCGGGCGCCAGGAATCGAACCTGGGTCTCTCCGTTCAACATTCGTTCCCCGGACGGAGCGTGCGCCGTGCACCACGCCCGGGGTATCTGCTTACTTATGAAGCTGAATATCCTTTAGATCTTTTTGGCAGCCAGTTGAGCGGGTTCCACCATAATAAGTTGAGCTCGAGCCTGACTGAACGAAGAAAAAAACACCATTATTCCCATAACAGTTCGGGTGCCAGGAGTCGAACCTGGAGGTCTCCTATCGACTCTCTGACGTCGGAAACACAGAGAAGGAGCGTGCGCCGTGCACCGCGCCCGAGATATCTGCTTACTCCTGACCATGGATATCCAGCCATTTTTTTTTCGAGCAGAAGCTGCGTGGAACGCAAGGGATGAACTATGGATGAAGCTAACTTGAAGTCTAACTTCTGGCTTGCAGTACTAGTCAACGCATTTCAGTCGCCCTCTCTCACCCTGTGAATACGGGAAAATGCATGCATGCCTGTGTTTGGCCTGTATTCATTTTTCTATAATATTATCTTCGGCTGTACGAAATCAGTACGTATGCTCTTCGACAAACGCCGGAGCCGCAGGGTTTCGTACGTACGTACGTACTTGTATCGCGGGGTTTTCATACGTACAGTATGTATGTATTGCGCAGGGTTTTAACTTCGTCCGCCGCGTCGGGTAGGTAGTAGGAGCGTGCAAGAGGTGGGCGATCTCTGGATCGGACACACAGATCAAAGCACGTGACTTGGGACCCTTCCTAATCGGGATGCTGAGATTTTTGACCACACTCACCACATCTTGAACACAAGGACATGCTGAGACGACACAAAAAAGCTTTCTAAGTCACTGCTAAAGACCCTCTATCAACAGTGAAAGAAACCATGAACCAAAAAAATCCAATCAAAATCTGTACACCTTTACAGCTCTTTGCAGAACTTAGGGCGCGAGCATTTTTTTTTTCCATTTTGGGTCAGATTTGATCCCCGCGGAATGCAACGCTCGCCCTGCCCTGAGTTCTGGCCCGTTCCTCTCGAAAATGGGCTGGTCCGATGCGCATCAAAGAGGAGCATCGGACTGCCTTCTAGGGATTCTAATGCGGGACATGCGGGACATTCGTGGTGCAGAATATCTACAAATGTGATCAAATATCGGGTGTTCTGACAGTGTAACTCTTGCCCTGGTGTGGGTTCGGGCTCGTTTCACTTGAAAATGGACTCAGTCGACTCGCCTGCCAAATCAGCATCGGCCTGTGTCTTTTGATTTCCCACATACATTACCTGGCAAGTCGACATCATGGGGTTTTCGGTGTTAGGCTCCGTATTTTGAGTGTCCGCAATGTAACGCTTGCCCTGCGGCCAAGTCCTAACAGTTTCTTTTGAAAATTGGTGCAAACGACTCGGACATGAATTCTGCATAGGGCTGCGTCCTTGAAATGCTTATGGAGCGCACTGAACAATTTCCTAGACAGCTTTTCTGATCCAATATGTATTCTATAATAAATACGCGTGTCCTCGCAGTTCTGGTCCACACCGAGGCCTGTTCTGCGACACGCACACACCATGGGGTGCAGACAACCCCCCTGTTCATTAAAATCTCTGCGGAACTCCTCTAGTCACTGTGCACGACATCCACACTGGCATCGATCACTGTACGTCACGGCCGTGACGGCTGTCACTTTTTCGCCTCTTGGTTCTGAGCCACTCGCTGCACATCTTCTCAACAATTGAATGCTCGAAGCGGAAGCCTCAGACTCTGGCGAAGGCGACTACATCAGCTCAAGCGACTCCCAGGATGTTACTAGCCCATTTCCTGAGCCTGATCAGCCATTATCAACCCATGATGATCCCTCCGGGATCGCTAGCCTCTCGACACCGACGAACATTCTAAAGGTGCAGTCCCATGTCGAGTGGCAGCGCAAATTGTTTGCACCCATTTTCAAGGGAAACGGTTGCGAAATGCCCGCAGGGCAAGCGTTACATTGCGGACACTCAAAATACGGAGCCTAATACCGAAAGTCCCATGATGTAGACTTGCCAGGTAATGTATGTGGGAAATCGAAAGACACAGTCCGATGCAGATTTGTCTGGCGAGTGGACTGAGCCTATTTTCAGGTGAAACGGGTTCGAACTCACGCCAGGGCAAGAGTTACACTGTCAGAACACCCGATATTTGATCACATTTGTAGATATTCTGCACCACGAATGTCCCGCATGTTCCGCATTAGAATTCCTAGGTGGCAGTCCGATGCTCCTCTTTGATGCGCATCGGACCAGCCCATTTTCGAGAGGAACGGGCCAGAACTCAGGGCAGGGCGAGCGTTGCATTCCGCGGGGATCAAATCTGACCCAAAATGGAAAAAAAAAAGCTCGCGCCCTAAGTTCTGCAAAGAGCTGTAAAACGGTTACAATCTCCGGAATAATATGTTCCACTAAAGTAGCATCTGTTTGAACTGTCGCATATAGACTTGGTATGCATTTTTGGGGGTTCTCGGAGCTCATGTGCAACGTCTTCGGTACATGTTGCCCCTGTCCCGATTAGGAAGGGTCCCAGGTCACGTGCTTTGATCTGTGTGTCCGATCCAGAGATCGCCCACCTCTTGGGAGCGTGAGGGATTCGTTTTTCGTGGTGAGTGAGGGGAGCGTTCTTGTATTTTTACGGGAGGCAGTTTAAAGTTTACGGGAGGAAGTTTATAATTTACCGACAGCATGGGAGCATCCTGTCAGTGCCATTAACTCACCTTCTCTTTTTATCAAACTCGGCCTCGTGATCGTTCTGAGTCTTGGCGGACCGAGGTACAAAGATAAAAATACTCAGCGCAAGAAGCTTGTTCCTGATATGCTCCCTCGCCGCTCGCGTGGTCGAGCATATGCTTCGGACGCCGTCATGGGTTCTGGGTCCTGTGCTTGTTCCCGATGCGAGTGAATTTAATTGACCCAGGGTGTGAGACAATCTAGAGTCCGGGGAGAAGAAAATAGCACGGTGAGTAAATTTTGAAATAGCACAAAGACAAGGTACCACGACGAGATAGAGTCAAGTAAACTGTAAAATGCTGTCATTACCTGAAGGTGAGTTTCCCGGATTGAAGGTGAGTTTCCCGGATTGAAGTTGAGTTTCCCGAATTGAAGTTGAGTTTCCGCTGCGCTGGAACCGGCTAAGAGAATTGGGAATAAAGCGTAAGCCAGTCTAAGGAAGTGGTAAAGTTGGCCACGAAGTACGGATGCACAGTGCTTAATGTACTTGTATCGAAACTCGACTCGGGAAGAATCAAGATTACTTACGTTTGTCAATGGAGTGGAGGATTGTATTTTTATGTCGATCATGTCAGTGGATTCGCAGCTTCG